ATTTCCTTTAAGGCACTTAAATAGAGCTCATTTGCAAATAAATTTTGACATCCATCCATATAGACAAAGAACTCAAAATTTTCCTGCTTAAATTTTAAAAGCCTGTTATTTTTCTCTGCAGTCTCAGGGATCACAGATAATTAAACAGAAGTTCCTGAGAGCCAGGTAGATCATTTATATCCCAAAAGCAGGTTCATCCTAGAAAACTGGCTTTTTCTAACAGCCTAGACAAAACTCAGCCACCTTGGCCATTTTCAGGGATTTTTTTTTTTCACTTTCCAAATATGTCGATTACTGTCTAACAGTAATAAACAATAATACACATCATTCACTCACATTCACATCCTTCACTTTCAGGGGAACATGAATCAGCATTCAAGTTACCAAGACACTTAACAAAAGTCTAGCCAGGAAGAGAGAACAGGATATGGCCTCAGGTACAGAGACACTCACACACATACCCAAGACAAAGCCAGACCAATGCCGAAAGTCTCACTTTGCTGTAACTGCAGAGCTATTTGGGGTCTTTGTTCTCCAGGTATCGGGAGTACTAAACCCAAACAGTATTACAATCAAAGGATCATTTTCTTTCATTTATGGGAGTGTAACTGAAGATCTCCCAGTTTTGCAAAACACACCCTAAGGGGACTACAAGACGGAACAGGGCTCTGATTATTCATACCTAATTACTCATGGCTGGTGTTGGCAAGTAGCAAACAAACAAAGCAGCACAATGCAGATCAGTCTCTCAGGAGCACAGTTTTCCAGCCACAGAAAAGATTCCCAGCCAAGTCAAATGACCAAAAGTTCAGAAGGGAAAATCCCAGCCAGCGCTCTGCTGGAGGTGAAGCCAACGCAATAGCGAAGGCTACCCTGGTGTCATGACCTGCAAGTGCCCCGTGGACATCTCAGTCAGCCCATGCGAGAGCCCTGTTTCCTCTACTGCTTCGCCAAAGGTAAAGACCAAAGGTGTCAACCAAAGGTGTTTAAGACAGAAATACAGATCAGTGGAACAAAATAGGAAGCCCAGAGACAAATCCATGCACCTATGGAAACCTTATCTTTGACAAAGGAGGCAAAACTATACAATGGAGAAAAGACAATCTCTTTAACAAGTGGTGCTGGGAAAACTGGCCAACCACATGTAAAAGAATGACACTAGAACACGTTCTAACACCACACACAAAAATAAACTCAAAATGGATTAAAGATCTAAATATAAGGCCAGAAACTATAAAACTCTTATAGGAAAACATAGGCAAACACTCTCTGACATACATCATAGCAAGATCCTCTATGACCCACCTCCCAGAGTAATGGAAATAAAAACAAAAATATACGAATGGGGCCTAATTAAACTTAAAGGCTTTTGCACGATGAAAGAAACTATAAGCTAAGTGAAAAGGCAGCCTTCAGAATGGGAGAAAACTATACCAAAGGAATCAACTGACAAAGAATTAATCTCCAAAATACACAAGAAGCTCATGTAGCTCAATATCAGAAAAACAAACAACCCAATCAAAAGGTGGGAAAAAGACCTGAACAGACATTTCTCCAAAAAAGACCTACAGATGGCTAACAAACACATGAGAAGATGCTCAACATCACTCATTATCAGAGAAATACACATCAAAACAACAATGAGGTACCATCTTACGCTGGTCAGAATGGCCACCATCAAAAAGTCTACAAAATAAATCCTGGAGAGTGTGTGGAGAAAACGAAACCCTCTTACACTGTTGGTGGGATTGCAAACTGGTACAGCCACTATGGAGAACAGTGTGGAGATTCCTTAACAAACTGGAAATAGAACTGCCATACAAACCAGCAATCCCACTGTTGGGCATACACACTGAGGAGACCAGATCTGAAAGAGACACATGTACCCCAGTGTTCCCTGTTTACAATAGCCAGGACATGGAAGCGACCTAAATGTCCATCAGCAGAGATGAACGTTAAGGAAGTTGTGGTGCATATACATAATGGAACGGTTGGACATGTACATGGAACTACTCAGCTATAAAAAGGAACGCATTTGAGTCAGTTCTAATGAGGAGGTTGAAACTGGAGCTTATTATACAGAGTGAAGTAACTCAGAAAGAGAAACAATAATACTGTATATTAACACATATATATGGAATTTAGAAAGACGGTAATGATGATCCTATATGCAAGGCAGCAAAAGAAAACAGACTTCTGGACTCTGTGGGAGAAGGTGAGGGCGGGATGATTGGAGAGAATAGCATTGAAACATGTATGTTACCATATGTAAAACAGATGACCAGTCCAAGTTCGAGGCATGAAACAGGGCACTCAAAGCCGGTGCTCTGGGACCACCCAGAGGGATGCGGTGGGGAAGGAGGTGGGAGGGGGTTCAGGATGGGGGAACACATATGCACCCATGGCTGATTCATGTCGCTGTATGGCAAAAAAATCACGATATTGTAAAGCAATTATCGTCCAAGTAAAATTAATTAATTAATTTAAAAAAATCAAAGGTGCTGAGGGTCAGCTACACCTGATTGGCAGCCAGCCCTTGGGGCTGTCCCTGAGACAAACACACTCGTGCAGCTCCCCTTTCAGGAGCCACCAGTGCCCAGGAACCAATGTGCCACCAGGGGGATGTCCACTTGGGACTCAGGCTCCACACTGGACACCAGAATTGTTTTTGAGCCAGTGTTGGTCTGCTTGACCACATGCAGTAAAACGTCTACTGATGTCAGGTGGAGGTGAAGGAAAGCACAGCATTTATTGTAGGGCTCCCGACAAGGAGCTGGGAACAGATAATGCTAAAAAGCCCAAATTCCCCAGTGAGTTTCAAGGCAGCCTTTTCTAAAAGTCATTTTTAAAAAATAATTTATTTATGTATTTCTTTTCTATTACGCTGGGTCTTTGTCGCTGTGTCCAGGCTTTCTCTAGTCGCGGCAAGCAGGGGCTACTCTCCACTGTAGTGTGCAGGCTCATTGCAGTGGCTTTTCTTGTCGCAGAGCACAGGCTCCAGGCGTGCAGGCCTTAGTACTTGCAGCTCGTGGACTCTAGAGCTCTGGCTCAGTAGTTGTGGCCCACAGGTTTTAGTTGCTCCATGGCATGTGGAATCTTCCCGGACCAGAGATTAAACCCATTTCCCCTGCATTGGCAGGCAGATTCCTATCCACGGTACCACCCTGAAACTCCCAGAGTGGCCTCTTAAAAGGCAAGAGAGGAGAAGGAAATTGTAGGGTATGTGAATGGCTCATGCATAGTTCTGACTGGTTGATGGTGAAGGAACAGGATGATGCCACAAGGGTTAACATTATCAATCCTCAGGCTCCAGGAGGTCTGGGGGCTATGTGCTCATGGTCATCAAGTATTAATAGTTAATTTCGCCCATTGCGGGTGATTTTAGCACGTGTAAAAACAACTCAGGAAATGTACATCGGGTACTATTATCTGGATACTTCAAAGAGGAGCTAAAGCAGAGGGCCTGGGGGAGGGGTCTGTCCAGGGAAGGCCCGTGGGGTCCACTCAGTTACAACAGGCAGCAGGACACAGAGATGGGCCTCTCCAGGAAAGGGAAAGATGGAACCATGTTGGGATCATCTCTCCCACATCTTAAATGCTCATGAAACAAAATTGTAAAAAAAAAAAAAAAAAAAAATTGTACAACAGGCCTGCCACAGAACTGTCAGATCTCAAGGTTCATCTTGACACCCATTTTCCTTTCCAGAACCTGACTGTCTGGCCCCACCCCCGCCTGGGTCTGCTGCCTGACGCAGGCAGGCGTCTTGTGAGCAGGGTGACACCCAACCAGCTGAGTAGGGCCCAGTGGAGGCAAGCCCGTGGGTAGTGGAGGGTGGGCACAGGTGGGAAACAGGGTAAGCTCAGACCTCGGGTGCCCAGGGTCAGTCGTCCAGCCCGGGTAAGAACGGACTCTGAGGAATCCAGCTCAGCTCCCACGGCCGGAGGCTGAGGCCACAGGAAACACCCCTCTCCGTCCTCAGACCCTAAAGAACACGCACCCAGAGGGTGGAGGTGGACGCTCCAGCCTTCGTCTACCCTCATGTCTGCAGAGGAGCCCACTTGAGGGCCCGCGTGGGCCCAGGCTGGCACCACTGGGTGGGCAGTCACTCCAGCACCCCCTCCCCACCCCCATCAGAGTGTGAATGCACCCTGACTGACCCCCACCTGCCCCCACCCCCGAAGCCACCGCCTCTCCTCCAGGCCCAGACTTTCATCCAGCCTCGACTCCCAGAAGCCTGGTAGTAGAGCAGATGCGGGTGCAGGGCTGGGGTGTGGAGGCTGGGAGCCCAGATCTAGAATGAGGAAAGGCCTCCTCCCAGAACAAAACACCCGAATATCTCAAGGAGGCTCCCCTTCCAGCAGTGTTGAGTAGCTGGGCCATCTCAACAGAGTTAAATAAATCAAACACAATATTGGTGTTTTGTTGGTTATTTGGTCACCTCAATCAAATCTGGAAACTATTTTAGCAGAAAGTTAGAAAAGATTCAACTCACCAGATTTTTAAATTAAGACCAAAAAACCCACTATATGCAGAAGTTGCAGTGAATGACACAAGCGTGCGCGCGCACACGGATTTATTCAAACCAATTAAGTGACCAAAGGAGAAATGGCAACGTGAAAGAAGTGGAAACATCAGACTTGCTACGGAGTGACTCAATAATCCACATTCATGGTTACACTTCCGAGTAACAGAAGACGAAGGTGAAGTCAGCAAGCTTCATTTTAAGTCGGCGAAGAGTGCAGTGACTTCTGAAGGCTTTCCGTCTAGACTGGAGCTCTGGTTTCCTCGTGGGCTCTCTCCTCTTCCTGCTGCTCTGCCTGGAGACCCGTTGCAGGAGCCAGCAGCGGCGGAAAGACAGGGCGGGTGGCGGGAAGCAGGTGCGCCGGGAGAAGGGGGCGCGGCTGCGAGGCGAGGACAACACCCGGACGACTGCGGGGGGCTGCCCCGGGCGCCTCCTCTCGGCTACGCGGCCTTTCGCTCGCTTCTAACCCGGTCCCAGCCGCCCTGCCCTGGGGCGGACCGTCCCGGAGCGGCACCTGGAGTGCCCGCAGGCCTGGCACCCTCGGCCCACGCTCACCGGGCGACCCCCGACCGCCGAGGGCTTCTTTCCCCCGGGCCGTAGTTTCCGGGTGAGCAGAGGGCACGCCCTGGGGGCGCTGGCTGGGACCGACCGGAAGCGCGTCACCGCGGCGCCGGCGCCTGACGGGCTGGGTCGCTTCGCCCAGATCGCAGCCTCGCGCCGCCACCTCGCGGTCCAGCGTGCAGGTGTTCGATGGGAAGGGCGCATTGCGCACATGGGGGCGTCTGCTCCCGGGTGAGCCCAGAGCGTGGAACTGGTCTCCTTCCTTCCAAAGAGAGCTGCGAGTCTGATCAACAGGGAACACTTTCGGAGTACTATTGCAGTAAACATTTGAAAGCTTAGAGTTCTTTCAAGAAAAATCCTCTCCATGGGACTTCTCTGGTAGTCCAGTGGCTGAGACTCCGAGCTTCCAATGCTAGGGGGGCCAGGGTTCCCATCCCTGATCAGGGAATTCGATCCTGCATGCTTCAACTAAGAGTTCACATGCCACAACTTAAAAAAAAAAAAAAGATCCCACATGCCAACACATGCCAAAACTAAGACCTGGTGCAACCAAATTTTAAAAAAAATTTTTTAAGAGAGAAATGTTCTCCAAAACAAAAGCGTGGAGTAGGGCAGAGAATGGGGCAACACTGATTATTACAGCAGCAGTGCCCTTATTATCACCAGGCACTGTTACCTCCTCTGTGGTTCTCTGCCACTAGCAGGGCCACCCGGGACAATGGCTTTCACACCCCAGTCCATGGTGGGAGATGCGTCTCAGGTGTGACCCTGTGCACACCCACACAGACACCTGAAGTAACATTTACTCCCCCACTGTGAGGCCCTTTCTGAGGCTTTCACTTCTACACCACTTAGGGTTGCCAGATTTAGCCATAAAAATATGGGATTCCCAGTCAAATCTGACTTTAAGATAAACAACAAAGACTTTTTATTAGTATGGGTAAGCCCTGTATAATACTGGGGATGTATTTATACTGAAAAAAAAAAAATGCCTTCATTGTGTGAAATTCAGAGTTAACAGAGGTCCTGTATTTTACCTGACAGCCCTTTATTTTTTTATTTTTTTTTTTTTCTGACAGCCCTTTAAAATGCTGGTCACGATCCCCTAACCTGATGTCATTAGTGAGTCTCAGGCCCCTTAGGTGACAGGACCACAGCACATCCTTTTTTATGGGGAAACCAAGTTAAGTGCTGGAGAAGGCAATGGCACCCCACTCCAGTACTCTTGCCTGGAAAAACCCATGGATGGAGGAGCCTGGTAGGCTGCAGTCCATCGCGTCGCTACGAGTTGGACATGACTGAGCGACTTCACTTTCACTTTTCACTTTCACACATTGGAGAAGAAAATGGCACCCTACTCCAGTGTTCTTGCCTTGAGAATCCCAGGGACGGGGGAGCCTGGTGGGCTGCCGTCTATGGGGTCGCACAGAGTCGGACACAACTGAAGTGACTTAGCAAGCAAGTTAAGTGCAGGAACTAGATTTGAAGCCTGTGGGCACCACCCCTCCCAGCAGTCACACTCTCCTCCCCCTCCCCCCCACCCCCACCCTTGCAAAGGCCTGCACTTGCTGCAGTAAAAGGTTTGCGTTTTTTTTTTTTTATCAAGCAAGAATCTGTTAACAATTTTATTATTTTTGTGTTAAATACCATGGGGCTGGATTGGAAAAATGAAAAACTCAGTCAACAACCGCTTTACAAGGGATGAGAAAAATCCTGCCATGATATGAGCAAAGGTGAAGGAGAAAATTTACACCATACAAGGCACGATTTCCCCATAGAATAGCTCCTGGCATTTCCTGAATGAGTGGGATTAGCAATCTAAATAGATCATATTTCAAGTGTTAACAGCAACACATAAAATTCAAAGGGATCACTAAAATAACATTTGCAAGACTCTGGACAATTAAAACCACAAAGAAAGAACAGTTCTTTATTTGTGAATTTCATAAAGGACTGAATGTGCAATGACACCTGTAGAGATGGTCTGGTGACAATGGCGCTGTCGGGAACCCAGGCTCTGCTCGCCCACGTCTCTTTCTAACCGTGGAACTGTTGCTGGCAAAGCCCACAGGACGCTGCGCGCAGAGCATGGGCACCGTGGCCCACAGCACCAGCAAGGCAGCTGCTGTTCAGTTGCTCAGTTTCGTCCGATTCTTTGTGACCACGTGGACTGCAGCATGCCAGCCTCCCCTGTCCTCCATTATCTTCCGGACCTTGCTCAAACTCATGTCCATCAAGTCAGTGATGCCTCCAACCATCTCATCCTCTGTTGTCCCCTTCTCCTCCTGCCTTCAATCTTTCCCAGCATCAGGGTCTTTTCCAATGGGTCAGTTCTTTGCATCGGGTGGCCAAAGTATTGGAGTTTCAGCTTCAGTCTTTCCAATGAATCTTTTCTGGTCAAAAGGAAACAAAGAAATAGCACTCTGTACGCGTCACTCTTCAAGGTGAATTTCCCTATAAAGAATCCAATAACGATGGCTGCGGTGACAACAAGAAGTGAAGACAGGGGACTGGTGACATTCTCTCTGGAGGCCCCAGCTGAGCTGGATCTGGGTTTATCCGGGTGTGCTCTCTTGCTGAGCCTCAGCCTCCTCCCTCAGGGGCTGGGTTTCTTCTTCCAGCTACCCCTTGGAGCCTCCTGCACTCTTCCATGAGCTTCCTCGTCTCGGTCTTATTGAGGGTAACACAGTGCGGCTTTGGTAGGGGTCGTCCAGCTTCGCAGCGTTCAGAGGAACGGCTTTGCTGGGTTCCATGTCCTTCTATTTATCATTTGCACTGGGCATCTCAAATACACATCTCAGTTGTGGTGGTGGTGGTTTAGTCGCTAAGTCGTGTCAGACTATTGCAACCCCAGGGACTGTAGCCTGCCAGGCTCCTCTGTCCATGGGATTCTCCAGGCAAGAATCTCAATTGAGAACCCATTAATTCATGGGGTTTTGCTTCTTTCCACACGACTTCCATGTCTGAAACGCTTGGTGGAGCAAAGATTGTCTGTACCATTAACTTGTGTTTACTCATCTCACTGGGGTCACCGTCCACCCTGGGTCAGTGATTCCCCTGTTGGGCCTCACACAGGACCCACGAGGTGCTGTCATCTTCACTTTGAAACACACCTTTTGATTTGATGGATTTCTCAGTGTGAGATTTGTAGTGACTACATCTGTGAAGGGGCCTTTGAATTTGGCAGGATCTGATTGTGCTTTGCCATGGCCGCAGAGGTGGATGCCATCGGAAACAGCGCAGAGCCAGGGCATGCCCACAGCGTGTGGCTGGCTGCGGGTGGGGGTGGCAGCGGCATGGCCAGGCCTCCTGAACCCCGCACCCGCCACTCTGTCGCCAGCTCGCCGGGCCATCCGCTGGTCCACAGCTCCGGGTCTCATGACTGACTCAACCCCGCACCAGCTACTGTGGCCACGCGCACTCTGGGGGTTTTTTTAAGATGACTTTTGTGTGCAGAAACAACTAGTAGCAGTCGCTTTGTTTTTTAAATAAATATTCAATTTATTAAAATACTACATTTAAAAACATAACTTTTCCTTAAGCACTGACGTCCAACTTAAAAATCTTTTACTGTTTATAAACTCTATATTCTGTGCTTCGTCGCTCAGTTGTGTCTGACTCTGAGACCCCACGGATGGTAGTCCACCAGGCTCCTCCATCCACATGGATTCTCCAGAAGAATACTAGAGTGGGTTGCCATGCCCTCCTCCAGGGGATCTTCCCAAGCCAGGGATCGAACCCAGGTCTCCTGCATTGCAGGCAGATTCTCTACTATCTAAACCACCAGGGAAGCCCAAGAAAACTGGAGTGGGTAGCTTCTCCCTTCTTGAGGGGATCTTCCTGACCAGGAATCGAACCAGGGTCTCCTGCATTGCAGGCGGATTCTTTACCAGCTGAACCACCAGGGAAGCCCCTTTATAAATCCAGTCAATTTTAACAGTCATTTACCAGGGGCCTTCTTTGACTGATGTTCTATCTCCCTGACAAACCAGCTTAAGTAAAATCTCTTAAACTTTTAAAACTACATATTTAAATGTTTCAAACCCTTCAATTCAGTAATGAACAAAACATTACCTAGCAGTATGGTTGGTCTTTGGTCCTGGCACAGAAGTGTCTTCTTTGCAACCACTGGCTGTGCTGATGCAGGTACTGGAGGGAGAAAGAGACAGATGGACACATATACACATGCCCACGAACCAAGCCATGTCCTAGAGGGGGCAAGTGTTACACTCTTTAGAAACCCGTCCATAACAACCTCTTATCAGTGACCACTTGTCCGCCTCCTGAATCTCAGTAGGAAATAATTCATTCCAGATAAAGCATTGCTGGCTCCCTTTTGAAGAGGATGAGCACTTTGGGGAGCAGTGGCCCTCAGTGGGAAGGACAGGGAGGCATGTCCATAGCTGGAGAGGAGGAGGACTGGTCTGCTTTGGGCACAGTCCAGCCATCTTTACGGTTAGAGAAAATCAACCTTCCAAACACCTCGGGATATCAACTTTGGGGTGACAGAGCCAGGCAAGAGCAGGGTTTCAAAGTGCAGATGTAAGGTTCTATTTCGTGATCCAGGCACTGGTACCCACAGGGGTCAGTGTGTGAATAGTCACTGGGCCATGCACTCTACGTGTAGATCATACTTCAGTTTTGTTGTTGGTCAGTTGCCCAGTCATGTCCAACTCTGCAACCCCATTGACTGCAGCACGCCAGGCCTCCCTGTCCCTTACCGTCTCCTGGAGTTTGCCCAAGTTCATGTCCATTGCATCAGTGATGCCATCCAGCCATCTCATCCTCTGACGCCCTCTTCTCCTTTTGCCCTCGTCTTTCCAAACATCAGGGACTTTCCAGTGAGTCGGCTGTTCTCATCAGATGACCAAAATGCTGCAGCTTCAGCTTCAGCATCAGTCCTTCCAACGAGTTATTCAGAGCTGATTTCCCTTAAGATTGACTGGTTTGATCTCCTTGCTGTCCAAGGGACTTTCAGGAGTCTTCTCCAGCACCGTAGTTCATTTTTTTTTTCCATTTATTTTTATTAGTTGGAGGCTAATTACTTTACATCATTGCAGTGGTTTTTGTCATACACTGAAATGAATTAGCCATGGATTTACATGTATTCCCCATCCCAGTCCCCCCTCCCACCCAGCACCGTAGTTCAAAGGCATCAATCCTTTGGTGTTCTGCCTTCTTTATGGTCCAACTCTCAACAATTATATGTGACCACTGGGAAAATCATAGTC